CTGTATTTAAAGCTGGAGCCACTGCTGTCCAGTATTCTCTACCCACCTTCCATTCTTGTGCTTGTTCCCTCAGACCATCACCTGCTTCTTCACCATCAGCACTGAGCCCTGGAGAACAAAGTTTGAACTCCTGAACAAGACCTGCTTGGAGGGCTTCCTTTGATTGAGGCCATCCCCACCTGGCCTCTAGCTGTTCTTCTTCTGCACACCAGCATTTCTATGTAGGTGACAACGCCAGGTTGTTCTCTTGCAAGTGTCCGGGTCTCACTTCCAGGCATTGTGGAAATTCCTCACTGTCCAATTTTTTCGTGTAGAATATATCATTAAATATCTGCATTTCAAGAAGCTTTGTGTGGCATGGTTCCAGAGGGGCTGCACAGGTGAAGGACTGATCCCAGCAGAGCAGTAGGGTGGACCCATGGTGGTGGGTTCTCTTCACTCTTGGACCTCTGGAGCCAGTCCAGGTGTCACAGTCTGGAAGCACAAGGTACTTCTGAGCTGCTGTCTTGCGGCTCATGAGGGATCACTTTTGTCCCCAAAGGTGCAATGCCATGACTTGGCAGAGAACCCAAATTGCAAGGTGGACCCAGACAGGCCGTCAGGCCCTCAGGACACATGAGGCCCCCATCTCTGGGTCTTTGAGGGCTTGCTCACATCCATTCCAAGCATCTGTAGCCTCCACCCACAGAGTGGTCCAGCCACCACCAGCAGCAGCAAGTCCTTGAGCCTCAGAAATGTTCCATTAGTGTCTCCCCACCTTTGCACAAGGAAGCTGCATTTTCTTGAATTCCCAGGAGACCCATGGACACTTACCATTTGAAAGGCACTGCTCTCCCAGATGCTATGAGACTCAGCCTGAATCCCCTAAAAGAGGATTAGCAAACTTCTTCTGTACGTAGAGTGGAACTGTTTTGGCCTTTGTGGGCTATATGGCATTGTTCTCAGATCCCCGACTTTGCTTTGAAAGTTCCATAAACAATGTAAACACAAATATGAGTGTTGTGTTCCAGTAAGACTATTTACAAAAATAAGTAGGGTCTGCATTTGGTCTTGGAGCTGTGGCTCCCCTCCCACAACTAGCTGTCCCTCCAGTGCTCATACAGGTGGATCACCCAGTACCTGACACTCTCCACTTCACTGAAAGGTCCTATTCTCCCCTAAGTTCTACTCAGGGCTTTCTCTGTACAAGTGGTGCCCCATCTGCAGTGTAGGCACACCTCAGTGGGGAAAGGTAGGCCCAAGGACAACACTCCATCCCCACATAGAGCTGCACCAGGAAAAGGCTTAGAGTTCCATCACCACAGATGCAGGTCAGAGACAAGATCCACAGGGTTCTCACATAGTCCAGCAGGACAGTGACCCATAACAACAGACATGTTGACTGTCTCCCTTCTTTGCTTCCCTTCCCCTCAGTGTGCCCCCTGTGATCATCTCCCAAATGAACTACCTGTGCCTTCCAGTCCACATCTCAGGGTCTCCCTGGGGACTTGCAGTACACATGTTGTATTAGATATCTTCAGGGTTCATCCTCTGTAGAGACCTGGATGGGCTTCCCAGGAATGTATGATCTCCCAGGCAGAGTCATGGGGAAAGCCTGACAGTGGGCTTCCTTGCTGCCAGCTGAACATCACTCAGAATGGACACAACTGTGTTCTTCTACCACAGCCTTCCCGTCTGGTTGCAAACTTTAGTACATTTTTCTTTTTTTTTTTTTTTAGTACATTTTTCTTGAAGACTCTCCCACCAACCAACCTCCTGTCTACCCCCACACTGGACTGTCCTGAGTCAAGCCTCAATCTGCAGAGGAAGCATAAAGAGGGCTCTTTACCCACTGTGATCCCCATGTATTTTCCATAGCCACTGCACTAATTCTACTCAAGTCCCACCAGATAGCTCCAGGAGACAGTCTCTTGTGTGTTCAGAGCCCACAAAGCAGGCATCAAGTCATGGCTCCTGGCAGAGACTTGCTAAATCTTGCTTCAGACCACACTTGTGGGGCTTTGTTAATAGTTCTCCCCACCCCCCAGAGACTCGGCCCCAGGGCCTGACAGTGAGTCCATGCTCCAGGTGCTCCAACTTTGTAACAGATGTAGGATTGAGGGTCATGTACTGTGGGGAAACCTTTCCTCTCTTACCGTGTCCACCTCTGCCTGGCTCCGGAGATCCCGCCCACTTCTCCTCCTTTCAGAGTAGGTTTGTTGAATACGTCTAAGCTGCCTTCTTGGGGTCAGGAGAGGAAAGAAATCCTAGTATCCAGGGAAGGGGACCCAGGCCAGGGCTGTGGAGTGAGCTTGAGAAAGCACTGGGAATGGGCTGCCTGGAGCCATCCTGTCTCAGTGAGCAGGGCTGGCAGGTAGAGCCAGATGTCTGCAGCCTTCAAGGCTCTGGTCGAAGGATGAGTCCACACTCATGGCAGAAGCCCTGTTCAGGCTTACAATACTCCTCGTGCTTGAGCACACCCTTTCTCCCTAGGCATCAGACCACGGGGAAAGAACACAGGTGGGATTCACCCATCGAAGGTGAGGACAGGGTCAAGTTTAGAGGGGCCCAGGCTCCCACTCTCTGGCTGACCCTCTCTACCCTAGGCGGTAGTGACAAAGGCCATTTCCTCGTGTGAAGGCACTGAGAACCCTGGGGACCATATAGCACTGGCCAACTGTGACGCATTCCCCTTGGTCTCCAGGGAGCCCCAGGGAGCTGGCTGGGGGCCCTGGACTGGAATTGAGAGAGCTGGCCCAACTCTGCCACATGCCAGTCCTGCAGCCTTGGCCCTGCTCTTAGCCATCTACACTCCAATTGCCCAGATGCCACCCTGGGATAGCATCCTCCATGCTTTCACCAAAGGGTGCTATTTGGGATAATATTCAGGGTTATGGAGTAGAAGTGCTGTGTTTTCTGGCACATTCTCCCTAGTTTGGAGTCACTCTGACTACTTGTTTCTTTCCTTGTCTCTGCTCAGGTCCATGTGGACCTTGTGCATTGGTCATTGGTGCATTGGTACTGAAGGATTCGGTCCATCCCCCATCCAGCCTGCCCACTGGGGGCACCCCTGATGCTCACTCCTCACCACCTGCAACACCTGGTGCCCACTGTGCCACATTGGGTGTGGTCCCCAACGCTCATCCTGAATCTATTATCCTCACAGAGCCACACAAGCATGGAGGGTCCAAGTAACATTTCTCTCCCATGTGAGACAAGGAGATAAACTCATCACCCACCCCAAGTAGACATCTCTAGCCCCCTGCAAAGTCCTGTATTGTGGGCCAACTCCTTCCCACACATCACTAGTCAGAGGGCAACTGCAAGAACGTTCTCATAACAGTGGTGATATGGTTGGATCAAGATCAGTAGCCTCCAGAGCGGTACAGTTTGCAGTGAGGTGATGCTAAGAGGAGTGCTCCATCAGGAAGCTCTAGTACTCATGAACCTGAATCCCAGTAACACCACAGAGTTGGACCATTCACCACAGCAGCTGATCCTGTTACAGGCAAACAGGCATCTGAAAAGAACATGTCTTGTTCTTTTCCTTATTCAGGATCTTTAGCGTCTCAGCTGCCAGCACATGAAGTTAGAAGGTTCTATCACCTGTCTCAGAGCTGATACCAAGAAGGCTAAACATTATAAAGGAAGCAACAGAGTTGAAAGGTGAGTGAACCGGTCTACTTCCACAGGGTCTATAAACCCCTCTACCCGATATAGAATGTGGATTTTTGAAATAATAATCTGATAATCACTAAAATAAACTGTTAATTATAAAGGTATTTTCAGCCCAAGATTAAATTATAGGTGATGGGACACTGGGTGCATCAGCTTCGTGGGCACTGGAGGGGCCTTTACTTTGGCAGGGGTGGGGGTGGTGGCAGCCACAGCCTGAGGATCAAACACATACCCTGCCTGTGTGTGTAAATACAGTCTCACTGGAAGACAACACTGTAATATGTATTCATATTTTTCTATGGAGCTTTCAAAGCCACACTGAGGAGATGAGAACAAGACTGATGGCCCACAAAGGCCAACACAGTTGAACTCTTTTTGCAGGAATTGTCTGCTAAATCTGCACCCAGGAGATGCAGGCAGAGTCTCATAGCATTTGGTACAGCAGTGCCACTCAAAATTCAATTGTCTGTGGGTCTCCTGGGATTTCATGAAAATGCAGCCCTCTTATGCAAAGGTGGGGAGACACTAATGGAACATTTCTGAGGCTCCGGGACTTGCTGCTATTGCTGGCAGCTGGACCACTTTGTGGTGGAGGCTACAGATGCTCCCATATCCTCACAGCTGTGTGGACCATGGAATGGGTGTGAGCAAGCCCCCCAAGACAGGGGCCTCAAGTGTCCTGAGGGCCTGAGTGCCTGTCTGCGTCCATCCTGCACTTCGGGTTTTCTGCCTGGTCATGGTCATTGAACCTCTAGGGAGCAGGTCATTCCTCATGAGCCCCAAGGCAAGCTCAGAGATACCTCTACTTCCAGGCTGGGCCACCGGGAGATGACTCCAGGGGTCTGAGAGGGAGGGGAACCATCACCCTAGGCCTGCTCGACTACCGTTAGGATGAGCCCTTCACGTGCCCAGCCCCTCTATCTGCAACCATGCTGCACAAGCTTCTTGAAATGCTAATGTTTAATGATTTTTCTACATGAAGAAAATGAGCGGGAGGGATTTTCACAATGCCCAGATATGAGACACGAAATATTTGCAAGTAAAGAGAACACAACTTGGAGCTGCTCAGCCACTGAAGGGAGACCTACAGAACATCACTGGTGTCCAGGAGAAGAACAACCAGAGCCAGGTGTGCTGACATTTCATCAGTGGGCACCATCCAAGCAGGTGTTTCTTTTTAATATTTTTCTAGTATTTTTTTGACACAGAGGGAGAGAGCCCAAGCAGGGGGGGTAGTGGCAGGCAGAGAGAGAGGGAGAAGCAGACTCCCCACTGAGCAGGGATACTGATGCAGGACTCGATCCCAGGACCCTGGGATCATGACCTGAGCCAAAGGCAGATGCTTAACCAACTGAGCCACGCAAGTGTCCCTCTAAGCAGGTCTTGTTCCAGAGTTCGAACATTGTGTTCCAGGGCTCAGTGCTGATGATGAAGAAGCAGGTGATGATCTGAGGGTAAGCACAGGGATGTAAGATGGGTGGAGAATGGTTAGAAACAGTGGCTCCTGCTTTAAACACAGCACACATCCCAACCACCCATACTGGGGTGAGCAGCTGGGGATGCAGGCTGTGGTCCTCAGCCACAGCCCCACCTGAGCCCTGGTTGTTCTGAACTCAGGACCTTGTCCTGACCTCAGGGGCTCCTGTACCTTATTCTCATCCTTAGCCCTGTGGTCTCCAGGAAAACACTCAGGCTGAACCAGTGTGACCTATGTTCCTAGCATAGCATTCGGGTGCTCTCTCCTAGGGGGTGCTATTTCACAGGAGCCCTTCACCCTAGGGGGGAGTTAGTCCCAGAGCTGGGGTTCACCTTGACCATTCTCCCTGGTGCAGCAGCTGATAGTCCATGGAATCTGGTCAGGGCATGGGAAGGAGGGCGGTGGTCCCCTCCTCAATCCCTACCCCCCACAGGCTCTTTTCTCAGGGGGACCTGAGAAAGCCAGTCTGACAAAGGCCATGTTGCCCATCTCAATATTTCCCCCTGAATTCTGTGGGGAAGGCACATCAATAAAGACAAGAGAAGGGATATCCTATGGCTTTCCCAGGAGACATGGACCCGTGTGGCCAAGAGCAATCTGTCATCACTAGCCTCTCAAGGGCAGGCAACTGAATGGGGTGAGTGGGCAGAGGTAGTTCCCAGATTGGCCAGGGGGCTACGAGTGGACCCTGAGGATGGCCTGTCCAGCTGGGCTCCTATTGCAGCATCAGTGGTGGGGAGAGCAGTGCCTGCAGGTCCCTCACTCATCTGTGTCCCTAGGAATGGCACTGTCATCTGCTTCACCTCCACGTCTGTCCCAAGCTGCATCCTCAGCTGTGTGACCCCAGGGATCTGCTGTGTGTCTTACATTGTTCTGCCCTGAACTTGCTTGAAAGGGACAGTTGTCAATGTCTTCATCAAATTTCCCACATCTTGTTCTTCTAAGCTGCAACTCCATGGAGAATGCCATTGTGTTCTTCTCCATCAACTGTAATAGACATCGACATTAACGTGAGAATCTGCCTCCTGGTTCCCTTGAACAGCTGCCAGTGTAGACCCATGCAGTGTGGGGAGAGCCCCAAACACTCCTCCACATAAGGAGTTGCCTCTGGGCCTGGATCAGCTTGCTGGGGGTAAAGCTAAGCTTGGGGAATTCAAACAAAGAGACCTGTGTTTCCTGTGAGACCTGGGGTAGACCCAGGTCTGGTCACACTCCATTTATACATCGCACCCTGCATCCCCATGTCCCCAAATGCTCCAGGGAGACCCAGCCTGACTTCTAGCATGCTTCTAAAGCTACAACAACAGTCCGGGGTCAGGTGCCTGGGAGGGTGTTGGCTCTGCAAGATTCTGCTGAGTAATGTCAGCTCCAGAGTAGGAGACTCATCTACCACTCTATCGTCACAACTTTCACTTGCTTGATAACAGGAAATATGCCTGCAGTGCTGTGAACACTCGTGTGAGCCCGAGAGTGCCCACTTTCACACACAACCCTCATTCCCGCCAACTATGGCTTCCAGATACCTCTTGCCCTATTACAAAGTGAAGCTGGAATTTTCTGTATTCCTTTTTACTCTTCTCTGCTCAATTCTTTCCATTCCTTACCCACCCCCCACTCCACACTTAATTACTCCCAATACCCTAACTCAATGTGAGTGCAGATCTAGGGATCCCAGAAGTCCAATCTGCAAGAGCTCGGGTAGCAGAACCAGACGGGACCTGGCACAGCAGGAGGCTGGAGCTCCATGCAGGGTGGAGCTCCCACTGTCCTTCCCTCAGGCTCTCGGAGCAGAGGGCCAGAGGGAGAGAGGAATGTCCTGGGCCCTAACATATGTACACACACACACATGCTTACACACACATACTACACACACTCAGTGACACACTCATGCTACTCACACCCACACCTACCACACAGTCACACAAAGGGACACACACACTCACTCAAAAACTCATACTTACCCATATTCACACTCTCACACACTCACTAAAACACTCACACCCACACCTACACCTGACACACATACACACATGACCATACATGCTCCTGCTGCAGCCCACATGAAAATAACCTTCCTAGCTGCATTCTGTAGACACTCCATTACAAGGACACTGCCCTAGGATTGAGAACCATGGTCTGGGAAGAGATTAGAATAGCATCCATCCCCATAGGTGGAGACCACAGGGAGGAGCCTAGAGAAGAGACCTGGAGGTCACAGAGACTACTCTGGATGAGGGAGAATCCTTACTGCCCTGATCCTCAGGCCCTTCTCCCTTCCTTTCTCTTGGTATCTGTTCTCTGTTTCTGTTTGCATTTGTTTTACTAGATTATTTCCTCAAACCCTCTCCTCTGACATTTTCTCAATCTAGCTCCTCCTCCTTTCTGTCTTGTTCTTTTCCTTATTCAGGATCTTTAGCATCTCATAGTCTGTATTTTGATCATCAATAAGTAACTTCATCAAATGATGAAAATTAGAACATCCTACTTGCAGTAGACATTGACCTGGGTATTTAAAATTTCAAATTCTTTCATAAAACTGAAACTAACTGTATAGTTTGTATTTTTGCTCTATTTTATGGACTTCAGAACAAGATCCCTAGATAGGACCCCCCCCACTCCTGACCCTGACTTCATAGCAAGTGCAGATTATTAGGCCAGGGTGTGGTACCTACCAGCTCCCTCCTGGAATTCAGGATGCGCACCAGCCTGTAGGCCTTCGTGTCATTGCTCTGCAAGTTGAATATGTGTAAGGCATACTCCACAGTAGCAAGGAAGTAGCTCTGCATGGCTTTTTGGTTATCACTCTCTGCTTCCTCTTCGGATCTTGACCCATGAGTGACCCGGAACTGGGAACCTAAGAGAAGCAGAAGCAAGGCCCAGGGCAGAGCCTGCCCACCCTGCCAGTGTGGCATGACTATGGATATCTGGGAACCCAGGGGCTTTGCCCTTCTAGCTCAAGCTCCCTCCAAGCCTCCCTGGGCATTGGTCCAGTATAATAGCTTCAGAACCACTCCTCCTCGGGATATCCTCCCTGCTATCATACTCCCTTCCCACACGTCACCCTGCCTCCCCATTCCAAGCTGCATAATTGCCTCCTATCCAGAGACAGGAACAAGCCCAGGCAGGGTGGGTTGGAAAGAACCAGCAATGCGAGGGAGGGGTCCCCTGTAGCTGAGTCCCTGCCACAACATCCCTCTCAGCTCCTCGCTGGGCAGAGATATTATTTGGATGTCCCAGAATCAGAGGCTGAAACAAGGACACAAGAGCAAGAGGTGGAAGTGGAAGGGGACCCCAGAACATAGCAGTAGGGGAAGGGCCACTGAGATAAGGACAGAGCCAAAAAGGACAAGTGATCAAGAGCCAAATTTGGGGGAGACAGAGGCAACCTGCACAGAGAAAATGGGTTTCTTTGGAAGAAAGAAGCACTGAGGCCTTGATGACTACAAGTGTCCGTGTCCCCCTCAGCTCCCCAGCCCCCCTTGAGTAGTAGAGCAGAGAAGGCTCACTGGTTCCTGGGCTGATGCCAGGCCAGGGGAATTCAGGGTCCTGGAACCAGAAGCTTCCAGCTGAGCTCATTGCATCTCCCTTTGCACTTCTTGGCCCCTGGATGTGCTGCCATGTGCTCAGCCTGGGGCCTGGCTGGATGATGTAAGCACATGCTCTCCAAAGGTGTTGCAGCAGGGGTGAGCCTTGACACACACTGGGCCTATAGATCCCTTTGTAGGAGTTTGTTCTAGAAGAGGGAGGGTGGAGTGAGGGAGAAACAGACACAGAACAAAGCCAGTGAGCTCCCAGGGATGGCTGAGTTGTGACCATTAGGTGAGCATCAGTGCCCTCTCGTGGTGAAGGTCCTCAAGGCTCAGTGGACACAATTCCTGTGTGCAGAGTCTGGGTTCTAGAGAGGGGCCCTCACAGCCTCCATCTAGAGCAGCAGATGGGGCTCTGGAAGGACTAAAGAGCACATCTTTCCAAACGAGGCTTCAGCTCTGTGCTTGTGAAAGGCTTCAGCATTTGTCTGCCACTACTTGTGAACTCAGGGGGACCAGAGTGCCCTGAAAGGCCTGTGGACACCCAGAGCCCTGGGCCTTTCCCCAGCCAGAATTCTGACCCAGTCAGTCAGGCAGGCCTGGAAAGTTTGCATCTTCACTTCCTCCCAGGGACTTCACCTGCTCCCAGGGGATGCTGATGGTCCTAGTCTCTGGACCACATGTTGAGGAGCACAGTTCAGAGTGAGTCCCTGAAGGTGGGGGTGGGGGATGCAGCTAAATCACCAGGAGAAGTCACTCAAGTGTAAGGCAAGGTCTGGGGCTGGGGATGGTATGTGGGGGTCACACTGGATCAGGGAAGGGGTCAGAACTCCATGCCTGGGGTAGGGTTTGCAGACCCCCAGGCATCAGTGACCAGATGGCCCTATAGACAGAGAGAAGGCTGCTTTGAAGCTGACAGCCTGTCCTCACTGCACAAAGGTCCTCAGAGCTCGTGTCCTTCCCAGGAATGGGGCCTCTCAAAACTCATTCTCACACTTAATCAATGCCCAAGAATTGATTGATTCATGTTTTTCTATTTTCAGTTATTTTGATAAGTGTTGTATTGTGTATTTCTTTTCTATGTATTTATTTTTATGCCTGATTATTCCTTCTTTGTAAGCAAAGTTTCCAGGTATTAAATTGCTTCTTCTATATTGTTTCACTCAAGAATTTTGAATTCACATTTTGTAAATGTCCAATGTAATTGTTCTTAAAAATTGTTTTCAATTCTTATATTTATGATGATTCTATCTACATTGGCTTCTCCAGACACTAAACAATTGCTTTATCTTCTGATAAGTCCCAATCTCAATCACTCCCCTTTCCAAAAATGCTCTGCACCTGTTCACCCATCCTGGAAGCCCCTCTAGCCTTGAAACAGGTCACTTGGTGTTATTTTCCCCCTTCAAAATTATCCTATAGCTTTATGCTGCCATATATGTTTCTATGTAATGGAGGTATTCTTATTTTCTTCAGGAATGTGGGAAGATAATACTGAGGCTCCCACACAAGGCAGGGACTTTAGGCAGCTGAGATAGGTCCCTGTGTGCATCACTGGACAGTCCCCCTCCCAACCCTGGGCTCCCACCCCTGTACTCTCCTAACATGATATCATCCCAAGAGTCAGTGAACTTGGTCTGCTCCACTACTCAAGGGGGCTGTGACCCAAGAGGGACAGAGTCACCTGGACCTGTGAAGTCTTCAAGACCTCTGGTCCTTCTGATGCATATGCATTTTCTCTAGGGAGGTTGCTTTCCATCTCCCACAAGGGTAACTCTTGGCAATTCATCCTTTTCAGCTCTGTTCTTATCTCAGTGGCCCTCACCCTACTGTTGTGTCCCGGAGTTACCTTCCATTTCTACCTCTTAGTCTTGTGTCCTTGTTTTAGCCTCTGATACTGGGGCCTCCAAATGATATATCTCACCAGTGAGGTGGTGATGGAGGGGTTGTGGCTGTGACTCAGCTACAGGGGACCCCTCCCTCACATTGCTGGTTCTTACCAACCCAACCCACACTGCCTGGGGCTGGTCCTCTCACTTGGAGAGCAGGCACATTTTGCAGATTTGGATGGAGAAGGCAGAGTAACAGATTGAAGGAACAGAGTGTAATAACAGAGAGGAGGCCTGGAAGCAAGAGTTATTTTGGAGCCAGTGAATTGGAACAATGCCCAAGCGATACTTGGGTAGGAGCCTGAGCTGGGAAGGGCAAAGGCCATGTGTGCCCAGACCCCTGCAATCATGACACATTGGCAGTGCAGGTGGGTCCTGCCCTGGGCCATGCTCCTGCTTCTCTTAGGTTTCCAGCTCCTGGTTACTCACAGATGGAATTCCCAAGAGGAGAAAGACAGTGACACGGAAAGTCATTTCCCTGCCACTGTGGAGTACGCCTTACACATATTCAACCTGCAGAGCAAGGACATGAAGGCCTACAGATAGGTGCGCATCCTGAATTCCTGGAAGGAGCAGGTAGGTAACCACATTTTTTGACATAATGACCTGCACTTGCTATAGTCAAGGCCAGGGGATCTTGTTCACCACCTGAAGTCCATAAAATACAGTGAAAATATAACTGTCCAGTTAGTGTTAGTTTTATAAAAGAAATAATTTGGAAATTAAACACCCTAGTCAGGGTCCATTCACATGTAAGACATATTTTCAATCTTCATCATTTTATGACATTATTTAATGACTAATACCTCAAAATCTGGACTATGAGGTGATAAAGATCCTGAGTAAGAAAAGGCCCAAAGAAGAGATCAGCTGGGGAAATATTCTAAGAAAACAAATACAAAAAGATCATTAGCAAACAGAGGAACAGACATAGAGAGAGGTGGCTTGAGAATTCGGGGAGTGAGGATTCTTCCTCATCCGGAGCAGAGCTTCTTCTCTGGTATCCTCCCTACGGTCTCCACCTAAGGGAATAGATGTTACTCTACACTCTTTCCAGAGCATTGTCCTTGTAATGGGAGTGTCTACAGAACGCATCCAGGAATGCTGTTTTCACATGGGCTACATCAGGAGCAGGTCTAGTCATGTGTGTATAGGTAGGTGTGTGTAAGTGTGTGTGTGTATAGGTGTGTGTGTGTGTGTATAGGTGTGTGTGTAAAGGTGAGTATGAGTAGTTTGAGTGGGTATATGTCCATGAATGAGTGTGTGTATGAGTGTGTTTGAGTGTATCAGTGAGTGTGAGAGTATATATTGTAAGTATGAGGTTTTGAGTGAGTGTGTGTCTGTGAGTGGGTGTGGGTGTAGGTGAATGTGTGTGTCAGTGAGCATGTATAGTATTGTGAAAGTGTGAGCACATGTGTAAGCACACACGTTTTATGTGTTAATGTGAATGTGTCTGTGTGTTTAGGTGTGAGTGTGAGTGTGTCAGTGAGCATGTGTGTGTGTTTGAGTGTGTGTATGTATGTCCTAGTATGTATGTGTGAGTGTGCTTGTGTTGGGGGCCCAGGGCATTCCTCTATTCCTTTGGACCTCTGCCCTGAGAGCCTGAGGAAAGGACAGGGGGAGCTCCACCCTGCACGGAACTCCAGCCTCTGTGAACACTGCCGGGCCAGGTCCCATCTGGTTCTGCTGCCTAAGCTCTCTCAGGCTGGACCTTTGCTCTGGGCTCCCTAGATATGCACTCACACTGAGTTTGGGGTGGGGGAGTAGTGGAGAGTGGAGTAGGGGTATGGATGGAATGAAGTAGAATGGAGTGGAGAAGAGTACAAAAAATTTTAGAAGGCCACTTTGTAGTAGGACAAGAGGTATCATTGTGTGTGTGCATGTGTGCACATGTGAGTGTTCCAGCAGCACTGCAGGGCATCTTCCTGTTCTCAGGCAGGTGAAAGGTGTCACAATGGGGCTATAGAAGAGTCTCCCACTCTGGGGCTGACATTACTCAGCAAAATTTTGCAGAGCAAACACCTTCCTAAGCACTTAGCACCTAACCCCGGGAAGTGCTGTTGTAGCTTCAGAAGCACGCTGGAAGTCAGGCTGGGTCTCCCTGGGGCACTTGCGGACATGGGGCTTTAGGGTGTGTTGTATGAATGATGTGTGCCCAGGCCTGCATCTGCCCTGGGTCTCACAGCAAATGAGGGCCTCTTTGCTTGAATTCCCCAAGCTTGGCTTTACCCCCAGCAAGCTGTTCCAGGTCCAGCTCCCTATGGGGAGGAGTGTTTGGGACTCTCCCTACACTGCATGGATCTACACTAGCAGCTCTTAATGGAACCAAGACAGGTGTTCCCACTGTAATGTCTCCATGTACCTGGAGAGAAGACAACCTGGCGTTCTCCATGGAGCTGGAGCTTCGCAGAACCGAACGTGGGAAATTTGACGAAGACATTGACAACTGTCCCTTTCAAGAAAGCTCAGAGCTGAACAATGTAAGACACACAGCAGATCCCTCGGGTCACAGAGCTGAGGATGCAGCTTGGGAC